AGCATGTGGGATCCTCCCGGACCAGGGCACGAACCCGTGTCCCCTGCATCGGCAGGCGGACTACCAACCACTGCGCCACCAGGGAAGCCCTAAAAAGGAGATTTTAAAAACCACTTATCGAAGAAGAAGGAGGAGGAGAAGGAGAGGGAAGGAGAGAAGGAGAAGAAAGCCCTTATAGGGTTGTATGAGCATTAAATATATGTAAAGTGCTTAGAATTATGTCAGATATCTATCTATATAAGTGATTAAAAATCAAAATAGAATGGAGAAATAGAAGGTACATTATGAAGTTTTCATGAGTTTAGAGATACAGAAAACATTATAATAAACCATAAAGGTCTGATCTTTATCAGGAAACTTGAGAAGATGAGAAACTATTAATCTAAGTGCTTTAGAGAATGCCAACACCGGATTATCCATCCTCCTTTGTTTAGAAAGATAAGGAAGAAGGCTAGTGAATTTTTACATAGGAGTTACTGTAAAATTTAAGACAGATCCAAATGGCTTCCAAATCATGTCATTATAAAAAGACTGTCTAAGTCTTTTAATTAAAAAGACAAAGAGCTTTTCTATAATATTGGAATGTTTGTTTTAATGATTCCAGGAAGTATTTACTTGTAACCCTGAGGCTAATAATTCTTACTATAGAAAACGACATTTTTTTTAGAAAGCTACATTTTAAAAAGAATGTTTGTTGTAGAAAACAGTGGTTATTCATTTAAAGCTGTAAACAATTTTTGTTATAGAAGGTTAATTTTATTCCAGTTTGGTGATAAATTAACCCCCTATGACCTCACTGATCTAGATCTAATTAACTTGACAAGTATAAAAGTCTAGGCAGAGTCTCTTAAATTTGATAATGCATGTAAATACTTTCCTTCATGTGAAAAAGTTATCTTATAAAAGATTAAATATAAAACTCTAACAGATTAAAAAGCAATACAAAGAATGAAATTCTGATACATGCTACAACACGGATGAGCTTTGAAAACATTATGTCAACTGAAATAAGTCAAACACAAAGAACAAATACTGTATGATTCCACCTGATGAGGTGCCTAGAATAGGCAAATTCATAGAGACAGAAAGTAGAATAGAGGTTACCAAGGTTACCAGGAGCTGGGGGAAGGGAGAATGGGGACTTATTGTTTATTGGTACAGAGTTTCTCTTTGGGATGATGAAAAAGTTCTGGAAATAGATAGTTGTGATGGCGTACAACCTTGGCAATATACTTAATGTCACTGAATTCTTCACTTAAAAACAGTTAAGATGGCAACTTTTATGTTATGCATATTTTACCATAATAAAAAAATACTATACAAAGAAAAGCAGTTCAAAGGAAACAATGTAATATTTTCTAAAAGACAACTAACCTGGATTAAAACATCAATGACATGAAAAATCCAAAAATGTAGAGGAATTGCTCTAGATTTAAAGAAAATAGAGGGAATTCCCTGGAGGTCCAGTGGTTAGGACTTGGCCCTTTCACTGCTGTGGGCCCAGGTTAAATCCCTGGTCGAGGAATTAAGATTCCACAAGCCACGCGGTGCAGCCAAAAAATAAATAAATAAAAGAGAATAGAGAGACCCTAAAACCAAGTGCAATGAGTGAACTTTAATTCAATCCTGATCTGGAAAAAAATCTATAAAACATATTCTTGTATCAGTTGAGGAAATTTGAACATGAACTTGCAATTAGAAGATATTATAGAATATGTATTAACTTTCTTAGGTGTGGTAATAAGTATTGCATTTATGTAGACAAGTGTTGTTATCCTCCGGAGATACATGAATTATTCACTATTTAAAGGCTAAAGGGCCATGATATCTATGGCTTTCAAATAGTTCACAAAATTTTTAAAATGCAGAGAGAAATTAAAGCAAATGTAGCAGGACTTTCCTGGTAGCACAGTGGTTAAGAATCCGCCTGCCAACGCAGGGTACACGGGTTCGATCCCTGGTCCGGGAAGATCCCACATGCCACAGAGCAACTAAGCCTGCGCGCCACAACTACTGAAGCCAGTGCGCCTAGAGCCCGTGCTCCGCAACAAGAGAAGCCACCACAATCAGAAGCCCGCACACCACAATGAAGAGTAGCCCCCACTCTCCACAGCTAGAGAAAGCCTGCGCAGCAACGAAGACCCAACGCAGCCAAAAATAAATAAATAAAAATTAAAAAAAGTAAAGCAAATGTAGCAAAACGTTAGTAGTTGTTGAATTTAGAGGAAGGGTAGATGTGTGCTCATTGTTTTATTCTTTCAACTATTGTGCATATTTGAGAATACTAGGAAAATCCAGAACCTTGATATTTCATCACAGGGAGAACAGTATTTGTAGGGAACACTTGCTAGTCGTGCTCACCCAGCACACATACCCCTCTTCCTGTAACAGCACTTCCATTTACCTTCTGGGCATTACCCTCCCCCAGTGTATGCCCACTTATTCTAAATTTCAGTCTAGGTGTCCTCTCCTTCCCTGAACCAAGGGGGTAGGTGCACAGCCCATGTCAGGTCAATCAAGCGTTCCCTTGTAAGAATTTAACCCAGGGTAGATTAACACAAGGCACACCTGATAGTGCCTGGAGGTACTGCTCAGCACTTCCTGCTTCCCAACTCCCTAGAGCTACCCTGTGTGCTTTTTCTGAGGCTTGCCATTTAGCTTTTGCCTCAGTGAGCTAACCCATTCTTTCCAATAAAATATTGTTGTTGTCATGAAGACCAGAATTGGTCACTGACTTTGACTAGTGAACCATTTTAACACCAATCCAATGGTTTTTTTTTTTTACAAAAAACAAACACACAAAAAGCAAACAAAAACAAAAAAACACCTACAAAGAAAATGCCTAGCATGAAAAATCTATTGCTTTTATAGGAGGGTTAAAATCTTCCAGGCCGGAGACAAATTACAATTGTGAAGTGAGCTGTGAACCATAAAAACAATTTAAAAATTCAGAGTTTGAACAAGTGAAAGGTGAGAGACATATTAAATTTACTCCCTCCCTGGAATGCAGTCTCACTTTACTACCAAAGTAGGCAATGGGAGTGAAAGCAAGCTGAAAGCAGAAAAAGCTTCACCGCTTCAGCAAAGGATGGAATCTCGCGATAATATGGCTGCCGTTTACCAAGAGCACACCGCCCTAGGCGCTGAGTTAGTCCTTCATATCCGTCACCTCACTGAATTCTCCCAACGGCAAATTTATTATCTATTATTTGGCTGTATATACTCTGATTATCTGCACTACAGAAACCTGGGGCTCAAGATTGTTAAATCTCTAAGTCGTAGACCTAGAAGGAGGAGGGGCAGGATCCAAACTCAGACGTGTGACTACAGCACTGGGGCCGTAGCACCTGGAGGGCGAGCGAGCTCCAGCTTCCTGGTCCAGCCTCAGATCAGCATCCCAGCGGCCTAAGCCCCTCCCTTTCAAGTTCCTGAGCCAATCCAGAGAGCGGTCAATAGATGCTGAGAGACTCTGCTTCTCTCCACCCACTCTGGACCCAAGAGCCTCCTTTGCAGACACCTTCCACAGCACCCAGTTCCTGGCTCTCAAGGGTCTCCTGAGTCACCTCTGCTACCCGCAAGAACTGGGTCCGGGAGAGCCGTAGCCACTTCTGTGCCACACACTCCCAAGTTATGGCACCTGCTAACCCCCGCTTCGCCGTGTTAACTTCATCGACAGAAAGTAGATTTCTCCCGCTCCCATTCGCCTTGACCTAGTAAAGCCTAAAGGATATAAGCATGGCTTTTGGAGCCAGATACACCTAGGTTCAAGTCCCTGCATCACCACTGCATGCCCGTGAGTAAGTTTCTTCATCTTCAGGCTCCCAACCTAAAATTAGGAATGATAACCCTACCTTTATAGCAGGCTTGTTGTGAGGATAAGATGCACTAACCTATAGAAAGCATCAAGCACAGTGCATGGCACTTTGTAAGCACTTGATAAACAACAGTTCTTATTTTCTTACTTTCATTGTTATCCCCACACTGTAGTCTGTCCAGCCTTTCAACCCCTATTTTGTACTTTGGGGTCTAGATCTCCTGCCTTCTCTTGTCAATTTTTTTTTTTTTTTTCTCTCTCTAGAAGTGAATCCAAACCCTGGGAGGGTTCCCAGTTCACTGGTGGGTCTTCTTCATTTAGACAGATCTTCCAGAAACAAGAATTTAGCTTGCCTGACGTTTTCATTTATAAAACTTATTTCCAGGTAAAGTTTTGCTGCAATGCCCACCAGTTTTCATCTAGAACTTGAATGTAGGTGATTATGCCCCTGGGAGCACCAGTGAAAGATGGAGAGGTCACGAGGTGGGGCTGGAGCCTGGGCCTCAAGTCAGCTGGGCCTGACCCTGCTCTTGCTGGCTGTGAGGCGTGCACACTACGTCTCAACTCCGAACCTTAATTTCCTCAGCTATAACATGGAGAGTCTGGCTCTTAACCTGTAGGGATGTAGTGAAGAATCCACGAGATAGCAACTGGAAAGCCCATGTGCCTGGCACAGAGTAGGCAAGGGTAATGTCAGTTTCCTTCCCCCTAGCAGACCATCACTGTCTTGAAGTACTACCATTAGCATCCTAAAAGAGAGGTCCCACCCCTAAGGAAGCAAGGCTTCCCCTCTCCTATTGCATTTTCTACCCTTTCCCTAGTCACTCCTTTTGCTTCTCTGAACCTTAGTCATTCTGCAGTTGGGGGTGGGGCAACACAGGAAAGAGAGGCGTTTCCTGGGACTCAGCCAGCCGCAAAGTGGCCCTGCTCAGATGCCATCTGGTCAGGAGCCAGACTTGCTGCTTAGAAAAGCACATACATTCTGGGCACTACTACCTAAGGGAAAACTCTGAGACACTTTAAAAACAGCAGTAAAGATGATTAAAGAGTTAGAGAAAAGGGCCTGTGAAGAAAGTCTATAGAACCTAGATTGTTTAGGTTAAGGAAGTGAAGGCAGGAGGGGAAGCCTGGGCTTCTGAGAAACAAGTTTCCAAAGAGACGAAGCCAAACAAAATAAAATACGTACAGTGGTAGGTCAATGTTGTAGATTGGGAGGGGTGAGTGGTGGGTGACAGTGGAAGGGTCTTGGCGGGTCCACTGAGGCATGACCTGAAGTCGGGGGATTTCTGTAAGAAAAAGAATGCAAAATTATTACCACAAAATTGCTAGGGCCCTTCCTGGGCTTTGAATGGTATATGCTGGTGAGGGACCCTGAAGCTCTGTTGATTTCACCTCTAATCAAGTAAATTTACTTCCAATCGATGGTGTGACAAGTGAGCTGGTAACAGATCTGAGAAATGGTCACAAAGCTTGATTGTTCTGCAAACTCTGCCTGGCAATGCCTTCTTCCCCTAACTAATGCCTTTTTAGCCTGCAAAACGCAATGCCAGCCTGCTCTCCTCTCAGACATCTTACCAGATGCAGCCCTTCCCTGCCACAGTGGTTCAGTGCCTCACCTTCACGTGTGCACCTGTCGTCTGTCACACACTGCGCTTATATTTACCACTCCACCTGTGCATTAGTTATCTAATGCTCCATAACACATTTCTCTAAAATGTAATGGCTTAGAACCATAGGCATTATCTCACCATTTCTGTGGATCAGGCGTCCGGGCATGGTTCGTCTTAAGGCTCAGCTGGAAGAGATCGGCTTCCCAGCTCACATGATTGTTGGCAGGATTCAGTTCCTCATAGGCTGTTGGACTGAGGCCTCAATTCCTCAAGAGCTGCTGGCCGGAGGCCTCCCTCAGTTCCTTGCCATGTAGACCTCTCCATCAAGCAAGCATGGCAGCTGGCTTCATCAGAGTGAGCAGATGAGAGGGCAAGAGACAGAGTGGCAGCAAAGTGGCAGTCACAGTCCTTTGTAACCTAATCACAGAGGTGACATCCTATCACTTTGGTCATATTCCATTCATTAGAAACAACTCACTAGGTCCAGCTCACACTCACATGTAGGGAATTACACAAAGTCATAAATACCAGCAGGTGGGGGTCATTTGGAACCTTGTCCGAAGCTGCCTACTACAAATGTCACTCCCGCTCCATCTTGTCACTGCCTGTTGTCCTGCCTGTCCCTGCCAGTCCATTATGAGTGCTTTGAAGACAGGAACCACAATTTACTCACATCTTAGTGCTCCTTAGTGACTAGCACAGGCCTCTGGGGCTTGTTAAGTGAATGGATAATGAATAAATGAATGACTGATTATTCCCTGTAGCAGAAATGGAACCAAAGGCAAGTGTATCATTTTAATTAAGAGTGTGCTATTTATTACCTTTTCACCCAGTCACTGCATTTCTAGAAAATTAAGGAAATAATCAGGAAAGTAATTACAAGGATATATTTAGAAGTTTGTAAGTTAGTTGCAAGGATGGTCTATAGAATTGTTTATAACAGCAAACATCCCCCTCAAAAACAAAAACAACTAACCTGTAAACTACCTGAATGTCCAATAATAAAGGATTGATTAAATGCATTGTGTTACAGTCCTACAATGGATATTCTGAAGTCATTAAAGTGAAAAATATTGAACAGTAGTAAATGACAGGGAAAGATGTACATATATAGAGATGTAGGTATATATAATATTGTACATTATTTTAATATTGTATAATGCACATTATTTATTGTACATCTAGAAAGCAGGTTACAAAGCAGTGTATGTATTTCACATTTTTACAAAGTAAATATACACATAGAAAAAGTCTGGAAGGATTTAATCAGTTTTGAATGGCCATGAGGTTCAGATAAACTGATTTTAAATTGCTTAAACAAACAGGTATGTGTTTCTTTTTTTGTTTGTTTTTTTCACATAACAAGATGTCTGAAAGTAGGCAGCCTCTGGCCTTGGTTCTCTCTGGCTCAGTATCACCACAGTTCTTTAGGCCTTCCCCTCAAGCTTGCCACCTCATGGTCATAAGATGGCTGCCCCAGCTCCAGGAATCACATACACATTCAAAGAAGGAAGAACAGCTAAGGGGAAGCTCCCGTCATGGCTAACTCTTTACTAGGAAAGCAAAAGGTTCTCCAGAAGTCCCCCACTATACTTCCCTAACTCTCTCATTGGCTGAGTGACATGGACATTCCCAGCTACAAGGGAGGCTAGGGACACTAGAGACAGAAATTTCATGATTGGCTTCAAAAGTCATGATGTATACCCTAGTTACACAACTACCTAAACAAACTTGAAGGTCTGTTAGCAAAGAAGGGAGCAGGGACATTGGGTAGGCAACTAGATCTTGCCCCCTTTAGATAGGACATGCTGTCCGCTTTGTCACTGTCACTGTCACCTCACTCCTTCTAGCCTTACACCTGGATTGCGCTACTCAGTTAATCACCTGCTAGTCCCTGAGGGCATCTGAGCTTCCAACACTTGAATATGAAGCTCAAGGTTAGGGGCTTCCCTGGTGGCGCAGTGGTTGAGAATCTGCCTGCCAATGCAGGGGACACAGGTTCGAGCCCTGGTCTGGGAAGATCCCACATGCCGTGGAGCAACTAGGCCCGTGAGCCACAAGTACTGAGCCTGCGCATCTGGAGCCTGTGCTCCACAGCAAGAGAGGCCGCGATAGTGAGAGGCCCGCGCACCGTGATGAGGAGTGGCCCCGCTTGCCGCAACTAGGGAAAGCCCTCGCACAGAAATGAAGAGACAACACAGCCATAACTAACTAACTAAATAAATTTAAATCATATGGGCTTCTAAGAAGACCTCCGCTTAAAAAAAAAAACCAAAAAACCCTCAAGATTAGAAAATGTGAAAGAATTGCTAGCTGTCCTTCATTATTCATAATTTCCTTCTTTCTTCTGGTAACAAAGCAACCTTCACCCCAAGAACTAGCAGGGCATATGGCTGCCCAGCTCAAGATCATATCTTCCAGCCTCCCTTGCGGCTAGCCTCCCTTCCAGCCTCCCTTGCGGCTAGCTGGGTGTGACCATGCAAGTGCTCACCATTGGAAAGTGACTAGAATTGATATGAGCATCACTTCTTCTACATCATATCCTAAAAGGAAATGTCAGCCATCTATGCCCTCTTTTCCCCCTTTCCCACAGGCTGGGAATGTAGATGTACTGGTGGAGAGCTTGCTTCAACAATGTTCTAGGAGAGGGCAGAGCAACAAGATAGAGGGAACCCGTGTCCTTAAAATGACCACGTGGGGCAGAGCCACTTACTCACCACTGGACTCATGCTGACCCACTCATAGGCTTAAAGAGATAAAACAACAACAACAACAGCTATTAAACAAGATATGTATTTTTAGAGTATCCTGTATTTTTTTATCTCTTTATTAAAACAGCTATTCCGTTCCCCAACTAATATAGAAAACAAACCACATTATACTAATGTTTGTCGTTAATAGTTGAAAAGGGGGTTGGAGCTAAGCTGAAAAAAGAGAAGAGTCAAATAAGTGCTGGAATAGGAGAAGGTGTTTTTGTAAAGAGGTCTTGGAAAATACAAAGGCCTTCATTAGCGGAGGAGGCACCTGAACTATTAACAGGCAGGACATTCATAGAGCTTGGTCAGAAGCCCTGCTGGGCTCTGCTTTGACCTAGAATGGAATTAATATGGTAGGGGCTGAATCTAAATAAAGAACAGGGTGAACCTGAACAGTGCAGCCTGAATGGCACAAAGACCCATCGTTCAAGAAGGGTCTGTGCAGCTATGAATTAGGTGAGAGGGCCATCAGTCAGGGCCTTTAGGTTGGAAGCAACAGAAGGCAACTGTGACTCTCTCAAATAAAACAAAACCAAAAAGGAATTTATTAGAAGGACACGGAGGAGGTCAAAGAATCTAAAGAAGACCTTGAGAGCCAAGTTCCAGGAAAGAACAAGATCCAGGTAAGCTCTGGGAATCCCACTGGCAGAAACTTCTAATTTCCCAGCATTAGAAGCCAGAATCACCTGGAGGGCTTGTTAAAACAGAGGTTTCTGGGGCCTACCCCCAGAATTTCTGATTCAGCTGATGAACGGTGGGACCCTGGAATCCGTATTTCTAACATTTTCCCAGACGCTGATGCTGGTGGGCCAGGGGCCGCATATGAGAACCATTTTTCTAGGTAAACACATCAAATGATTCAGCACCGACTGCCTTCCATCTCCGTGTCCCCACTCAAGATTCCAAAGTCCTGAGAAAGTCTAGCTGACTCAGAGTTGAGTCACTCCTGTGGTCAGAGGGATAGAGTCCTGTGACTGGCAGCCCTTTGAGTCTCACATGGGTTGGGGGCAGTGGGGGGCTGGGAGGGAAGTTCCCCAAAGGAAGGCTTGCTGGTCAGAAAACAATAGAAGACGGCCAAGCTGAATGCACAGCTCTCAACATCTGGAGCAAGATCTGCTGCGGCAACTTCTCTCAGCACAGACAGTTCCGGAGGAGAAAACTTTTTAAAAAGAAAAGAAAGAAGGGAAGGAAAATGTGGACTCTTGGACAGTTATCTTTATTCAAACTTCTTTCTCTTTTCCAGCCCAAGATAGGAGACTCCTGCCCCCTAGAGGCCAGAAATCAATTCCACAGCCGCCTTGGTGACTTAGAGAAGCCCCGAGGAGGCAGTGGACTTTGCACTGGGGACAATTTTGACCAGATAGGCCACTGCCCAGGACAACGTGTCATCATGCATGCTGTAGCTTTTCTCAGCCGCAGAGAAACTGACACCAACAGATATTTCCTTAAAAAGCCTAAACATATTTTTGCATTATATTTTATATGCTCACAATGAATTTTTTCCTTCAGAAAAACTGAGAGAAAAAAAAATTTGTTAACCTAAGTAACCAAGCCTATACTTCTGTAAGTCTGTATTGCTGTCTATCAAATTTTCTTAAAATGAAGCTCACCTGAGCTTATAAACCAATATGATATGATGATTTAACATAGCAACATGGAGTGTGTTAAAAACATCATGTTTGTATTTACACAGCAATCAATGTCATATGCCATATTAACAGGGTAAAGGACAAAAATACATGATTATCTCAATAGATGCATAAAAAACATTTGACAAAATCTAATACTCTTTCATGATAAAAACACTCAACAGACTAGGAAGAGAAGGGATCTTTCTCAACCTGATAAATGTCACCTACAAAAACCCCACAGATAACACCATACTTAATAGTGAAAAACTGAATATTTTCCCTTAAGATCAGTTGTAAAGATTACTGGTTGCCAGGGGCTGGGGGAGGGGGAAACAGGAATTTACTAATGGGCACAGGGTTTCTTTTTGGGGTGATAAAATGTTCTGAAATTAGATAGTAACAATGGTTGCACAACCTTGTGAATGAATGTACTAAAAACCACTGAATTATTCACTTTAAAATGGTAAGTTTTGTGATATGTGAATTATATCTCAAATAAAATTGTTATTAAAAATATATATTTACATGGGGGCAACTATTGATTGTGTAGCTAGAAGTGGGGAGAAATCCCATGATCCCTGGAAGCTTGTTTGGGACAGAAGGAGAATTATTTGTTATAATATTCTCTTTAACTTCCCCAAAACTGGTTACAAGGGAGCCCAGTTGAAGAATTTAGTTTTGTTAAAGAAAAAAAAAAAACAAACCCTATAATTGTCAGGTATACTTGCTCCTTTGTTTCAAAGGGCACTTCAGTGTTCCCTGGGTCAGTTTCAGCCTGAGGTTTAGCCTGGGGTCTAGAACAGAGAAGAAAATACTTCACCTTATAGAGTAAGAAGTTTTAGAACAGACTGCTGGAGACTAGAATGGAGCTGGAGGCTGGAGGAGATGGTAGCAAGCTGACTCCCAAGGAGGGATAGAGCCCGAAAGAAATTCCTCTTGGCAGTAATGGCCCATGAACTTTTAGGACAGTGATGTCTTATAGATAACTCTAAGTGGGTGCCTCTACTGTGCTGAAATTCTCCCTGTGTGTCACTAAAGCCTCAGTAGAACCCGCTAAATGTTAGGAATACTTGGAGAAATGAAGGAATCAACAGCTTGTCCAGAAGGGGCTGAGAAAGCCTGCCAGAAAAAGAAATAGCACCAAAGGAAAAAGAGTAACAATGAGAAACAAATTATTTCTTGGGCTAGCCTGGGGCATGCGGCTCCAAATCCACTCAATCCCTTGACTAAAATCACAGGAATTACGGGGAGAGGCCTGGAGACCAAGTTAAGGATGGTTTTGGCTACATGTAAGAAAAAACCCAATTCATGATCACTTAACCAATAAGGAAATGTTATTGTTTCACAGAATGAGAAATCCTAGATTAGATTGGCTTCAGGGCTGGTTAATTCAGTAGTTTAATGATGTCATCAAGGGCCCAAAGTTCTTTGCCTCTTGCTGCTCTGCTATCCACAGCTGTTGGCTTATCTTCAGGCCATCATAGATCCAGCTACCCTGATTGCATATTAAAGTGAATCCATGTATTGATTAGAACGCTTTTGATTACAAACATCAGAAATCCAACCTAGATGAGCTTAAGGAAAATAGGAATCCAAGGGGACTTCAGGCATATCTGAATCCAGGAGGGCATCAGAACTTTCTTTCTTTCCATCGTTCAGGCTTATTTGACTCTGCTTGGCGCCACTCTCAGACAGGAGATGGCTGCTGGCATGCCAAACCTTCAATGCCGTGTATCTCATGCTGAGCGTGAGAGACAGAGACAGAGAGACCTTTTTTCTAATGTCCATTTGACAGATTTCATGAAGGGATTCTGATTAAGTCACCGGCCCATCCCTATCCCTGGATCAATCACTAGAGACACAGGACAAAAACCTTGGATTGGCCAGCCTTGGGTCTTCTGCCCACCCCTGGGACTTAGAGTCAGAACCACCCAAGCCACAAGGACTGAGCTGCATTTGGGGGAGGAGGAATGCTTCTCCATTGGAAGACAGTCTGAGCAATGAAAGTGTGTCTGCCACTTGCCAGAAGGCTGTCAGACATGAGTACGTGGGATTCCAATGCGAACTAAGGTTTAATAGGCACCCTCCAAGAAACCAGAAGGGAAGGGTGAAAGGAACTGGAAATTTTGGGGGGCATACCATGTGCTTTCCCAAGGTCGCAGAGCTAGGACATGGCGGAGCCTGGATTTAAATCCATGCCTTTTTAGTTCCAAAATCCATGCACTTAGCACTGGGGGGACTGAGCAAAGGCAGAGGGGCCACGACAGAGAAGAGCTGTGCTGTTGAGACAGAGAAAGCTGTCCAGCAGACACCATAGCGGAGCACTTAGCCCAGCCTGGATATGAATCAGGGAAGTCTTTCTGGAGGAGGAGATATTTGAACCGAGGCTTAAGGGACAGTAGGTGTTTGTCAAAGGAATAAAGGAGAGAAGCAAGAAAAGAGGTTGTCTGGCTAGGCAGGGGAGGTCACAGAGGCCAGAGTTTCGGCTTTGGACACTGTCTCCATGGGATAGGGGCTTTCTTATCCTGTTTTCTCCCAGCTCTGCCCCCATACCATCACACCACAACA